GAAATTTTAAACAAACCCCCTTTTTTTAAAAAATTTCTTTTTTTTTTTTTTTTTTTTTTTTTACTACACATTAGCATTAAGAAAAGCTGCTTTAAGGAAACAACATTCTGGAGTGCTCACCAGGTGGTGCCAGCTTTCTCCCTCTCTTAATTCTAATAACAAGACACTCACAGTCCTATTTTTAGAAGCTGAAAGCAATTTAATAGGCTTTTAGCAAGTAGCTGCTCTTTTAGAAGAGTAGCCTTTCCAATTATTGTAATTGATGATAATTACTTTCAGAAATAAATAAAAAGCAATAAGCCTTTAAAAATGAAATAGTCAAAGACATATCATACCTTAAGGTGCGATTTTGAAAATTATGTTGACCCATTGGTACATCCTGTATATTTAAAGAAAAAATAAAAAGAATATGAGTTGCCCAAAGCATACTTCGTGAAAAACATTGAAGTTCAATGATGTATAATATATTTCTTATTTTATCATGAAAAGTGTCATTTAGCAACAATTATCCATGTGGCAAAAAAGGCCTCAATTATAAATATTAAGATGAAAAAGTTTATATTTAGAATGCTGCTGTAATATGTAAACACGGTGATAGAAGGACCAGGATTGTTTGTTATTTAAAAAAATTATATCCTGATATTGGCAGATCTGATTTCAGACAACAGTATTAGAATGACAGGAAATGACTTAAAATCATATGAAAATGAACTTTGGTATCAGACAAATATTAGAAAATGCCTCCGACATAAACATAACCACAAACCTACCACCAATTCTTACCACTGCACGAGGCTGTTAAGAACTGGTACCCTCAGCTAAGTACGGGAGGTCATGAACAACTCGATAAAGAGAAGAAACCAACCCACGAAGGCTGGCACATCCTGAAGGAGGCGTGCAGGGAAGACACTGGTGAGTTTATTAGTGGAGAATTCACTGCCAAACAAATAAACTTAATAAATAGACTTACACATCTGTGGCGGAAGTACAGAGAAAAGTTGGGCCAAATCAGCTCTAACGCTACTTTAATCGGTAAGGTTAGACTGGAAAGTGTAGTTAGCCTAAAAAAAGGCAAGGTTTTTATTTTTATAAATGTAATTGAACTCCAAGTTTTATTATATACAGTGAAACAATGCATGGTTCAACTTTCCCATCAATGTTTAAAGAAGAGTCTGGGAGTTAAGCACAAGGGATTAGATAATAGAAGTAACTTTTGGCAACAACAATTGTTACACCCTGGAATGTATCAGTGAGGGCTCTTTCTGCAAGTGAGTAACAGACACACAGCCAAGTAAAAGCTGCCTGAGCTTAAAGCACTAACCAAAGCCTTGGGGCCTTCTTAATACGCCTTACATTGTTGCTAAGATGGTATGAGCCTCAGTTTTGAATTTGTGACAGGTAACACCAGATGGTTAAGAAAATGGAATTGGCTCAATAGGCCCTCCGAATTTTGTAAACAACTTCTTGAAGCTTATAGCAGTAAACAGTTCAACAGTCTTGATTGAGGCATCTTCTCACCAGCACAGAACAACAGACTGAAATCATTCCTATTCTCCCATGCTCAGATAATTATCGACATGGGCACTCCTAAATCTGTGGACAGTAAAGGCTGATAAGGAAGAAACAATTGCAACACCACCACACCTGGAAAAGTAAGACCCCCCTCCCCAATAGGTAAACATAAAGAACAGCACAAACATTTATGTATGATTTTTATTTTTTAAAACCAACCAACCTATTGCTGGTGTATGGTAGATCTCAATGAGAGAAGTAGTTATTAACGATTAGCACTAACAAGAAATACAGTGCCGAGGCAAAAGCATCCAATCATTATTTCTCGTAAAAGCAATAGAAGCATTGTATTTCATTGGCAACTGGAAACTAGACTCCAGGGATGCTTTTCCTCTAGCAAGAAGGCCCCAGGGGCTCCAGGATGTCCTCTGCAGATACCTCATCTTGATGACCCCATCCAGTGCCACGGCTTCAAATATCATCCAGAACTGAAGACTCTCCCATCCATATCCATCCAGCTCAGGCTCTCCCGAGTTCTGCTTCCTAGCTGTACTTAGGTACCTAAGTGGGGCGCTGACTTGAACATGTTCATGAACAACATTTTGATTTTTCTTAAATAACCTGACTCTTCCTGTGCTTGTCATCTCGGATGGCATCATCACCCCCCTCAGCTGCAGAGCCTAAAAATCTGGATTCGCCTCTGCTCCTCACTCTCAGGCACCCACCCATCTCCAGTATTATCTGCTCTACTTTTAAATTAGCAGAAGACTTTGTTTCTGCTGTCACCGCTAAAATCTTAGCATTTGAAGGCAAGATTCTCACTGGTCAGCCTCACACTCTTGCTCCATTTTTCCAATGCATCAATTTAATCATATGCTGCTCTTGTTTAAGATCCGCCATAACTCCATGTTACACTTAGACTGAAATACAAACTCTCATCTTAGTACATCTCACCCCATGGCTTCCCTTTGCTCATCACTGATGACGGTCCAGCCATAGCAGCCCACCTCTACCCCCGGAAGACACCATGCTGATTTCTACCTTTGGGGCCCTGATTGGTTCTTCTCCCAACCTTCTCTTCTCATTCACTGAGGTTTCCCACCTTCCTGCCTGGAATAGCCAGCCCCATTCATCCTGATGCTGTTGCTCCAGGCTATCATCATGCCAGCCCTCACCAGCACCTTAGCGATCTTGATCATGTATCTGCTTTCCTACTTGTGGTCTTTGTCTTGTCTGTCATGATGCAAATTCCTCCAGCACATGTCCTAGTGGCCTCCCTGTTGACAGTTGGGTCACAATCTTCTGTCATATCGCATTTATTTTTTGGCTTAACAAAGCCCTTGGGAAGTGGGTAGAAGAGCTATAACTAACTCGGAACAGGTACCTCCCTTCTTGGGCTTGAGAATGTCACTGTGAGATGTCAAGAGATGGCGAGCAGGCACAGGTGCCGAGAGAAGCCACCTGAGAGCCCGGTTGTTTCTTCTCATCTGTCATTGAGTATTACATGACGTCATGGTTTCTTTTTAAATCTCAACTGTATCATAAGCATGGTTAATGCTATATCATACATAAAATTTTACTCACAGATAGTTAAAAATCTAACTACACTCTTGGGATTATTCTAAGTGCTTAACTGCATTTCCCTCCTCCTATGGGTCCTTCTATTTTTCATCTCCTGCTCAGACAACCAGAGTGCCTGTCCCTGTTCTGAGGAGCTTTGGTACTCCATGGTATGTGGGAAGCCGGAAAGAAGCGAAAGGAACTACAGCCAGTGTGCAGCACCGAGACAGCATGAGCTCATCGACCCACAGGCCAGGGACTTGAGGACTTTGCCTTTTTATTAAATTGCTCAAAGCTCTCTACCTGCATCATGATAGGAAAAAAATATACTTGATTACAAAAGTAGTTTAAGTGTATCCAGTTGCTACATCAGGTGTAAATAGCACTGTCTTGAGTTATTAAGTTATAACACAAAATCACTCTAAGGTGAACCCTGGCAGTGCAGGCTCAGAGTTCATCTCCAAGCAGAAGTTGGTAAGCTGCACCGTTGCAGATAGGAGTACTGTGGCAGGAGAGGCCCAGCCTTTGGGTGGGGACCAGCTTCCCTGCACACACAGACAGTCTGGAGGCGAAGGGGGCATACCGTGGTGCTGATCTTGCCGTTCTCCGTGGTCATGCTGTCCCTGTGATGCAAGTGTGCGAAGGGCTTGGCTGCCCCCCAGGACTCCAAGTACCGGGTCATGCGGACCGAAGCCCTCATCTTGGCTCCATCCAGGGTGTGGCGAGGCCTGAAGAGGTGCTGAGGACTCCGCCGTTCTCCCTGGGGTGAGAAACAGTGTCACACCTAGCGCCCAAGAGCCCGCTGTTCTTCCTGCTCCAGCCTCACTGACCAAGCCGGTTCCTCTGAGCACCGCTTCACACACTCTCCTCTGCTCCTGCCCTTATTCCTCAGTGTTACTGGAGAATAACCCACTTGAACAGAGTGATATTTCTCCAGGTAACAAAACTTTACCTGTAACTGAAACTTACGGGAAAAAATAACCATGTTAATGGATATTCTGATAAAGTAGATTACAAAATGGAATATGCCGAGCTGTTGTAATTTCTTCCTTGACTATTTTTTCCCCTAAATTGACAGCCTTAGGGATTTGGGCTCTCTCTAAGGCTATGTGGCTTCGCCCCTCCCTGTCTGGTGCTCTTCCCTGAACACAGCCCTCTGCGGTACTTCACACCCATGCCACCACCCCACAGGTCCCGCAGCCGGTCACACGTCCTCCTCCAGAGCAATGGCAGCTGGTTGGGGAAGGTGGGGCTCAGGGACGCTGTCAAGGGGGGACACCCACAAGCTTGACCTTGTTGATTTCGTGATGCTGACTTTCACAGTTCAGAGGCCTTTCGTGCTGGCCTTTGCACCACTGACCAGCTGTGTGATACGGGGGGAGTTACCTACCTCCCCCCAGAACTTCAGATCTTAATCTGTAACCTAACGACAGCACACATGTGGCAGGAATTAGCGAGAGTTAGAAGAAATGGAAGCCCTGAGTCCCTTGGTCTAGCCTACTGTGTGGTGACCAGAATGAGGAGCTCTCACTGGTGGTTGGGTCTTTCCAGCAATGGAGGCTTTCACGGTATGGCAGGTTCATATCTGCACACACACACACACACACACACACACACACACACACAGAAAAAAGCGCTGGGATTCTTGTTTTGC